GGGGCCGGTGGGAGGGGGAAGGAGGGGGAGACGGCGAGAGGGAGGGGGGATTGGTGATCTATCGGCCAGCGGAGGCCAGGGGGGGGTCGGGGATCCGGCCGCGGAAAAACCCGCGCCCAGGGCGACACGCCCTCCCCCCCGCCCCCTTGGGTGCCTGCCGCGAAGCCGGGAGGAAACCCCCCGGGGTTGGGGACCAGCGCCAGAGTGAGGGGGCGGGGGTGCGAGAGGAAGTGTGCCTCCTCGTCCGGGATCCATGTGGAGGACGGGCAGCGTAGGCGGCGGACATCGGGACACTGGCCTGGGCTTCCCCCCCTGCCTGCGGCCGGCCCCCTGGCCCCGGGGCGGCCCCAACCTCCGGGACGCGGAGTCCAGAGCAAGCGGCGGCAGCCGCCTCGGAGCCGGCAATATTAACTCTCTGCCAGTCGACTACCGCCGGGGGCCCCCGCCCCCCCGCCCCCCGGGCCTGATAGCAGCCCGGGAGCACGCACGCCCCAGACCACCAGGGGCGCGCCTGCAGCTGGAGCTGCGCACCACACGACACACCGAGAGACGAGGGCGGCTGGGAGCAGCCCCGTCCGGCCCCCCTCGGCTGTCCTTGTGGATGTACGTGCGCATGGGCGCATGGTGGCAGAGGGGGGCGGGGGCGGGGGCGGGGCGGGGGCGGGACACCCAGACACACTCAGACACACACGCACACACACATGTACACACACACACACACACACACACACACACACACACACACGGGGGCCGGCGCCAGTGCGGGGGGGCGCGACGGGGGAAATGCGAAAAAAAAAAAAAAAAAAAAGGACACAAGGGAGAGGGACACGACGACAGTGGGCGACACTTCGGTCACGGGACGCACGTGATAGCCATGAAATTGAGGGCGCCCACGCCGAGATGCGCTTTTGGAAGGCGCCCTGGTGAAGGGGCTGCTGGCTGCCGATGATGGCGGCGTCGCCGGCGGGATCCGGCTGGCCAGCGGCACCGCCGGTGGCCGGCTCGTCCCCGTGCAGCGGCCGCTGGCCGGGGTCCCGGGCAATGGACCCCCCCCCGGTGGCGGAGAGCTCGGCCAGCGGGAGGCCCGGCACCACCATCACACCTGCCGGGGCGCCGCCGCTCAGGGCCGGTTGCAGGCTGGCGGTCTGGGCCGCGGCCGCGGCCACCGCGCCGGCCACCGCCGCATGTAGATCGCCCCCGGCGCGGGTGTCCGTCGCCGGCCGGTGCTCGCCGCTGCTGGGCAGCACCCAGACGGCGGCGCTGCGGTGCCCATCTTCGGTCGGGTCCATCTCCTGTGTGTCGGCGCCCTCGTGGGGGTTATTATCGGCGTTGCTGCTGTTGTTGTTGCTGTTGCTGTTGCTGTTGCTGTTGCTGTTGCTGTTGCTGATGTTGCTGCTGCTGCTGTTGCTGCTGCTGCTGCTGCTGCTGCGGCTGCCAAGGGCGGCGCTGGGGCTGACGCCGTTGTCGGTGCTGCTAGCAGCGCTGCCGACCGTGCTGCCGACCGTGCTGCTGGTCGTGGTGGTCGTGGTGATGGGAACCAATGGGTCGACGGGGCTGCGATTCGAGGGCCGGGCGGATTCGGCGACTGAGGGCGCGCCGTCCGGGCGCGCGAGGACACTGGTGAAGCCCGACGACCGGACATCGGCCGGGCTGTCGGCATCCGCAGCCGGTGCAGCCGGTGCCTCGGTCGGCAGAGGTACCATCCGCACGAAGGATGTGGCTGCCAGGCTCAGGGGGCTCAGGGCGCCAGGCATGAGCACCGTCTGTGGAGACAGCTTGCCGCCGGGGCTGCTGTTGCTGCTGCCGCCGCCGCCACCGCCACCGCCACTGCCGCTGTGAATGGACCCCGGCACCAGTGCCCCGGGCCCGGAGGTGGCAAAGGGCTTCGGGGAAGATCGGAAGAGCGTCGTGTTGCTGCTGCCGCCGCCGCCACCGCCACCGCCACTGCCGCTGTGAATGGACCCCGGCACCAGTGCCCCGGGCCCGGAGGTGGCAAAGGGCTTCGGGGACATTTGCGGCGACCCGCCGGGGGAGGGCGATGACGAGGAGAGGATCAACAGCGAGGCCGACAGCGAGGGGGAGAGCTGTGCCGACAGGAGGGCCGGGCTGCAGCAGGGTATGGCGCTGGTCGGGGAGTTGCTCATCACGCTGGAGAGTGGGGACAGGGGAATCCGGATGAAAGGCTGTCTTCCAAGGGGGGGGGGGGGGGGGGGGAGGATCTCAGGTAGCCGAGGAGGACTGAGACGAGTGGGTGGTGGTGTGACGAGGAAGCCCGGAGGGGAGGGCGGAGAGAGACCGAGACAGCGGGGTGTGAGCGGGGGGGGGGGGAGGCAGATCGAAGCGGGGCATTGGTTCCACGCGCTTCCCGGCGTGGCTGGATGCGGCTCGCAGGGCAGCCGCCAGCAGGGGCGGCCCCCGAGGGGGAGAGAGGGAGATACGCACCTTCCGCTGGGCTGGTGGGGGGGGGCGGGCGGGCGGCAGAGGGAGATGTGTGTGGTTTCTTTTCGGCAGGAGGGGGCTTCGGCACTGCGGGGATGAAAAGACCGGGGGGGACAGTGGGGCAACTCACACGCGCATGCGCAGTGCGAGAGAAGGGGCGAGGTGGCTCTGGGCGCCGGGGGAGGGAGGACGACGCGTCGCTCGGACAACAGAAAACCCGACAGGAGAAGGCCAGGCTCTGGGGGGGGGTCGAGAGAGGCGGGGAGCGGTAACAGGGGACGGCGCGCGGTCGTGGGCGTGGGAGGATGGTAGGAAAGTCGTAGCAAGGAGTTGTCCAACTGGTGCTCGCCCCGGCCGGGCATGTATTTGAATTCGAGATCGCGCGGGCCCGGACGCGGCCGATCGCCGAGCCCCCGGCCAGGCCTCCCGCCCGCCCGCCAAGGGCGGCGTGGTCCAGCTACCTCGCGCATGCGCGCCATCCCTCCTCCCCCGCACGGGAGATGGCAGTCAGGCACCCTGGGGGCGCGTGCGCTGCGCGATCTCGGCCAGCCGATGGGCCCGTTTCACCTAGCCCACAACACCTGGCCGACCCCGCAGGCGCCCCTGTGTGACCCCGCCCCAGAGAGAGAGAGAGAGAGAGAGAGAGAGAGAGAGAGAGAGAGAGAGTGGCGGCCTGGGCCCCCGGCGCGCGGGCTCGCCCGGCCCTCTCGGGCTTTGGGCACGGATACGGGTGCATGTGTGACCGCCCCGGGGTGCCCCGCGTGAGGGCCGCACACGGGCGGGAGGGGGGGGGGGGGATCGTGCCGGAGGGGATCTCCAAGCCCAACCGACGCCGTGGTTGGGGCTGGGGGGGGGCGGGGGCGGACGCAGGATTCCCCCCCCCTCTCCGTGGCCGGACACCCGGCCCGGGCGGCGCGGCGGGAAAGGGCGGGAATAATGGGGAAAAAAAATAATAAAACCCGCACGCCCACGCCAAGTGCCGCCGACGACCGGGGCCCCGAGGCCGGGCTCGCGCCGCGAGGCGGGCCCGCATCTGCTCGGCTCCCGTGGGCGCCCAATCGCGGTGGTGCCCCTCGCCCCCCTCGCCCCCCCCCCGGGCCCCGGTCTCGCGTCGCCGGCGAACACCCCAACGCGGTGCCCCTCGCACCCGGGCCGGATCCGCCCGGGGCAGGAATGCAGGTGCCGGCCGGGGAGGGGGGGACGAGGCCGGCCGGGCTGGCAGCGCACCGGCAGGGATTGGCCGGCTTCGTGCGCCCCCGCCGGTCGGCCTCCCTGCCGGGGGGGGGGGGGGGCCGGCCGGGGGC